CCTTGAGTAACTGAAGTTTCAATTGGAGTCTGAAGCCAGCTCCACCACTGACCTGGGCCGAAAAAGAAGTCCACCAGGAAGGTATCAAAGTGGAAAGGGACAGTTCTTCCATCCAAGCCAGCTCGAACCTAAACGGTTTAGGGCCTCTGTTAACCTCAAGGTAGGCAGAAGGATGGGACAATGATCAGAAGTCGGTTTAGGCAAAGTTAGGGCATGAGAGTCAGGGAAGAACTCTTCCCAGTGCAAAGAAAGCAGGAACCTATCCAATTTAGAGAGGATGGGCTGAGAGGAATGGCTTGACCAGGTAAACTTGTTATCTTGGAGGGGGATGTTAAGCAACTCGTTCTTGGAGATGAAGTTTGACGAGTCCACCATCCCCTGAGATAAACACGAGCTGGAATTACGCTCAAAAGACCACCGAGTAGTGTTAAAATCCCCACCTAGGCACCAAATAGGGTGGGGGAGAGACGCTACATAGTCGAGTTCATACCAGAGGAGCGGTTTAATCGTGGAAGTGCACGGGCCGTAAACAGCCATGAATTTCCATTACAGGCCATCGGAAAGCCTTGACAGCATAATAGAGACATTCCGCCACAAAGGAGGAAACAAGCGTGTGGTCAGAGGGTTCCCAGGATGCCCCTACAGCGGTAGAGCCACCCACTGGCAAGGGCGTCTACCCAAATCTGACGAGAACTTGGAGTAGCGATGGTTCAGGACAATTGGTTTCAGTAAGGGCAAGAATGAGGGGACAGTGTTTGGAAGACAGGTCCTTGATGGCAGACCTTTTGTTCGGGTGACCCAAACCTCTGATATTCTAAGAAATGATCTTCATGGAGAAGAACAAGAGTGGAGGAGAGAGGCGATTCTGGGTGAACACCTTAGAGCAGAAAGAGGGGGAGAGAAATAGGGCACCACGGCAGAGGTCGGTCCCTGAACAGATAAGGAAGAGAAGGGGTTCAAAAGCTCCCTCTTCCCTTTGAAACCCACCTCCAAACGACTCTGTGGATCGGCCAGCATGAAGCGATGCGTCGAGCCTTCAGGCCATCATGTTGGAAGTCAGAAGATCTCTCGCATCCTTGCCAAGTCACGGTCTGGTGCATCACCATCCACCCCCTCATGAGCAGAGCCTATCAAGGGGGGAGAGATGGGCGTTGAAACAGTAGCATCTGGAGAGGGGAGTCCTTCCCTGTCGACCCCCCCAACCACGTCCCTGGGCAAGGGGGGAGAGATGGGCTCCACTGGAATTCCATGGAGAGCCTCCTAGGGGGAGGTGGGGAGAAAGAGGGGTACAGGTCCGAGGGGAGGGGGGGGAGCATACTACGAGGCGGAGAAGGGGTAATGATAGCAGGAGGAGGAGGAGGGAGGGACAGAGTGGAGGACGAGGGGTACAGGGACGGGGAAGAAGGCGAGACGTAACCAGGAAGAGAGAGGAGGTGCGAAGATAGCGAGAGGGATCCAGGAGTGGCGGTAGTCCATAGGAAAGGGAAAGCGGGGAGAAGTTTGGGTCAATGGAGGTGAGAATGGGAGGGGGGGGGGGGAGGGGGGGGGGGGGAGGTAGGTAAGGAGGTGGGAAATAGAGACCAAATGGTGGGAGAGGCAGAAGGGTCCAAGGCAGTGGTGATGGGAATGAACCCAATGGACCCTAACAATGTTAGGGATAAGGCCCTGAGAAGGGTTAGGATCGAGGGAGGGGTGCGAGAGGTCCACGTCCTGGTAGGGGGGGAAAAGGTCCATCGAGACCAGGGTAGCAGGTGGTGGAAGACCGAACGGCTTCAGCGAAGCAAGGAGAAAGGCAAAGAGAGGGGAGAGTGACGAGCCAGAGAGAGAGGGACGATTAAGGGCCAGTAAAAATGAGAACGGAACCGAAAAAAGGGGAGGGGAGAGGAGAGAAGGAGGGCCGCCGGTATGCGGGGAGCGCCATGCGACATTCCAAAGAGGAGAGGGGGCAGAGGTGGGGAGCTCGAGGCCATCGCCGGCAGTACCCCGAAGCATAGGGGAGGCTGGAGGATAGACAAGGGAGGATGCGCTGGGGGGAGGACGCATCATTACCCAGTGGGGTGAAGACAATAGGATGAAGGGAGGTCAACCGAAGGAAGGCAGCATCGACGTGACCGCACTCTTCGAGGACAGGACACATGTTAGAGCAGGAGGCGATGTGGCGAAAACCTGGGGAGACACGCCTAAAGGATCCGAAGGGGCACCAGGAGGGAAGCCACGCTCCCACGTGGGAAGGGGGCAAGAGAGTACGAATGAAGGGGCCGACAAGACAGGAAGAAAAAACCGGGCCTCATAAGGGAAGGGGGCTCGGGGCTGAAGCTAGCTAGGAAGAGAGAGGCCGGTCCTTCGGGTCGCCCTTGTCGGGCTTAACAAGGCTGAGAGCCTGATAGGGAGAGTGATCAAAGGCGATGGCAGAAGCCACGTCGCCATTGAGGGGAGAGGAGAGAGAGGGGTAGGTAAGAGGGGAGACGAGGAGACGAGGAGACGGGGTAGGGTGACAAGTGGCAAAGGACCTCAGGGGAAGGCGGTGCAATCTAAAGCGTGGCAGGACCTGTCAGCCGGCCGGAGGGAGGGACACGTGGACTGGAGAGGCAGTTGGAGGAGACAGCAAAGCAGGGACGGGCTCAGGAGCATGCCACGCGTTCGCCGAAGGAATGAGTACAGAAGGCGGTCGCTGAGGGAGGGCGGGCAGGGGGGAGGGGATTTCGAGAAAGACTGGCCCAGGTTAGGGGAACGACTCGAGGCGGAACGAGAGATCTCTTTGTCGAGGCGGCGACCGAAGGAGGAGGAATCAGAGGGCGGCGGAGCATGGGGGTCCGACGCAATGAGCTAAGGGTTAGAAGGGGAGGGAGGGATAGGAAGGAGGGGAGGGCGACAGGAGGGTTGGCTGCCTTTAGCCACCGCCAAAAATGGGGATCAAGGACGTCTGCTGCGCCGACGAGCTTTCTTCTCCACCCGAGTCCAGGAGTCTGGTTGAGCAGCAGAAAGAGCAGTCGGAACCTTATTGGCGAGGAAATGAGGGGAAGGGGCAGAGGCAAAAGACCAAGAGGTCGAAATGGGGTAGAAGAGGTCGCCAACGTCTAACCACAGCAAGTTGGGAATGGTTCTGGGGTCCAGCGTTTCGATGAGGACACGAATCGATCCCAAAGGGAGAGATTCAATAGAAATTCAATGGGTGGAAACGAAAAACCCGCTTCCAACAGTGAGGCTCTTGAAAGTTTCATGGGACCAGGGATGAAGAGGGATATTGTAGAAGGTAAGCCACACTCTCTGCTTTCTGAAGGACCCTTCCAAAGGTGACCAGGCCCGCAGGGCACACCGTGCACCAAAGAAGGTGAAGGGGGCAGAACCCTGAAGCGCAAGGCTAGCGTCAGAAGAGGAGGGAAAGGAGAGAAGGAATTCACTGTTGGAGAGGTGCCTGCAACTGAGATTAGGATCCCCCCAGTGTTTCTGCGCCGCCTTCTCAATACCTCTTACATCTCGACGAGCAGAGTGGAAGCTCCCTATGAGGGATGCAAGGAGTTTGGGGTCGGTCTTCTCGACTTCGACCTTAGGGACAGAGATACAGAAGGGGATGAAAGGGGACCTAACTGCAAGAGGAGGGATCTCCAGTGGTTTCAGAGGTGAGTTCAGGGGGAGGGAAGAGTTAGGCTTACGCGAAGCAATTACCTGAGAGAAAGAAGCCCTGAAGGAGGCGGGGGAAGAAGAGATGGAAGAAGAGAGAGGCGGGGGAGGGGGTTTGGGGTAAAGGTCGTACATGGCATTCCAGAGTGTTAAAAGTCTTTTTTTTATCTTTCTCTTTATTTAACTTAATGAGACATATGTCCTATTACTAGTCGGTGCAAGTCGGTGCAGGCAGTTTTGCACATAGTTGTTGTAGGCGGAAGCGAGCTCGGAAGAGGGATCGGTTCAGGGAACACCGAGCCGCCATAGGGTGAAAGCTCCCTGGGATTAGGATGGTATCCGTACATACAACAAGTTAAAGAGCTAGATTCTAGGATACCTGGGAGCGAGATCCCATATCACTAGGATCGTTTTGACTGAGAGGCATCTAAGCTCCACTATACAAAAAATCAGATCAATTAATAGTATATAATAATATTGGGATTGAGCAAGGGCCTGCTCAATCCATTATCATAAAATTAGGACCAAAAGTTATGGCCCCTCATAGGAAAATCATAAAATGAAAAGTAGGAAGGGAATCATAATATCATTTACTTCTCAAACTTCTGGCCATTGGCAGGATCTTCCTAAGTACAGAATCATACCCTGGCCTCTTCCCAAAGAAGGAAAAAAGAAAATATTGTTCAGGCGTCGAATACATCAATATGGGAAAGATGGATGCACTTTGTACCTCCCTCTACATCTTCAACTTAATTCCATTTAATTTTCAGAACTAACCTTAGCGAAGAGCTGCTCTAAACCATATCTATCTGTAAGTAATGATTAGTGACCCCAATGAATTACCCTGCTAGTGAGGTTCATATACCCATGTTCAGGATTCCGGTATGAGGATGGGCTGAATTGATCCTAAGGAAATTAAACTTAGGAAGCTAATATGCTTTCAGCATTTCTTGCTTTTTGTCTTCAGAGGAGGTTCACAAGGCATGAACCTTGATCCTTCACAGAAAATTAGTTTTGCAGACACAAAGCTCTCCATGGTAGGAACCACGGATCTGTCATTAATAGAGCAGATTAATCATCAGGACTGGTTATAAAGAGACAGGACCCCGTCTCCAATCTCTTTAAAAAAGCGAAAAACTTTACACATATAGACGGTCAGTTGTATCACAGGTACAGAGACACTCCATTAGAATCATTCCACACTGAGAAGGGGACCAAAGAAAGAAAGGGACATATGAGCCGCAGTATGAACAGAAAAAAACAACTTAAATCAAGATGCCCTCCAACTCAACTATACAATGGCTTGGCAGGTACAAATTGAAATGTATGCACATGCATATAAGTGCAAAAAGACAAGACAGGTGAACAATATATCTTACTTGCTTAATTTAGGCTTCATTGTCTGGAGTTTAAGGGCCGGTATAGAATGCAAGACTTTGACACCATGAACTGCACGCTTTTTGGCATGGGATTTTGATTGCGGAGAGGTTTTCCTGTTGGAGTAATACTTGTCATTGGATAGATTGAATTTACTAACAGATGAAGCTCCTTGCCCAGAAGCCTCAAACACTTCTCCTGAGTTAGACTTTACAGAGTGTGTGATTATCATGGCTCCAGCATGAGAATAAAGATTCTCACTTTCCTTGTTATCTAAAATTTCAAACAACATTTGCTCATCTTGAAGATTGAGAATGAGCTTTGAATTTGGGACAGAATCACTCGGTTCCCAGAGGATTCTATCCAACCAAGATCCTTCCAGCAAATCATTATTTTGCAAGGAAAGTTTGCTCAACAACTTCATAATATCACCTCTCCAGGCGTCATCGGTACCATTCGGCCGCTGTCGATCTGAACACTGTAAAGCATCCCATTTTTTGGAAGACTCTAACCTAAGAATCTGAGGATGGAAATCCCTCTCTGAGCAAGGAAAGTTCATTAGATCAACAGTGCTATTTGAATCAAAGGGTTCGACGATAACAGGAAACCTTTGCAGGAAAAGAGAATTATCAATCTCATCTTCTTCTCTATGAAGTCGAGAATGATCCTTCTCATGCAGCTCTGTCTGAAATCCCCTCAAGCCACCTTTCCTAAGTTCTCCATCATCCGATTCATTACCATCAAAAGGCTCAGTATCAAGTCTTGAGATAGCACAAATCTCGTCTTTCTTATCCTTATCTTGCTGAAAACGAGAATGTTCCTTCTCATATAGTTCTCCTAACTCTCCTTTCCAAAGCTCAGCATCTTCTGATTCATCATTATCACAAGGCTCAACATCAAGTCTTGAGATAGCATCTTTCAAGGAGACCTGGTTTGGGGGAGGAGATGATCCCCATAGAATTTCATCTTCCCATTGCTGCAGATAGAGATTGGAGCACATGGGTGAAAGCTGTGCAGGAAACTGAACTTCAACCATATCGAGAGTTTGTTCATCACAAACACAATGACATGAATCTTTCTGTTTGCTCTCACTAGTGGAAGATGAAGTGGCAGACACCAAGTCCACATCATCAACATCCCTCAGCATCACAGAATCTTCTTCAGTTATGTTGTGCACTTTACCAAAAGATCGTCCTTGGTAAGTGCCCTTCAGGAAAGCCTCCTCATCCTCTTCAGCAATATCAGCAGCATCTAGCACATTATGTCTATCTGCAAAAAATTTAAGCAATATATAAAAACAAAATCCCAAAAAACAAAAGCACAGCTAAGAGTCTCTGTAGCCAACTGGATAAAGAGAAGCTGAAAATGTCTAAACCCACATTAATAGTAAACAAGAATGTATAACATTAAATATACAAAGTTACAACAGCTTTGGCCAACCCAAAGATAAAGCCTAAAACACTACCGTGCAATTGAACAGACACTAGTTCCCGATTACAATTAATGACAGATTTCATCCCTACAAGATCTTCCAGAATTCTATTAGGCATATCATGAAAAGTTTCATGACAGAAAGCAAAGGCTGCACTCCTAAAAAAAATTAAACAGAAATAAGAGAATATGTAGAGGCATACAGCAAAGCAACAAGAAGAAACCAAAACAGTGAAAACCAGAAAACAAACGCCCCTCCTACCAAGTGATTGCAAAGTATACAAAATCAGTTATAATTGGTCCCCAAGAGGTTGCAATATTTGTGCTTTTATCTGAAACGTTACTCAACCAACCGACAAAAGTGATATTTCACCAAATCCACTCAGATGGACCCAAAAGGTCAAAGGAATGGGAAGTCCCATGTTGTCCATGTTGATGAAAGGGTAAAACAGTCTTCCACAACACTAGGTCCCATCTAATTTGCTCAGCCAGGATGAACGGTTCCAAGTTCATTATATGATGATGCACTGCACCTATTCCTTCCCTTGGAAATTCCCCAGTAAAATATTGGGGATATATCTTCCAAAGAATCATCTGCTCAGAAGCCAGAATGTACCATCCATAGGGAGGGACACCATCGTCTGTGATACCACCCAAGAACACATCCAAACACGTAAAATGAAGAAACTCCAACTAATTCCAACAAAAGAATATGGAACAGATGATCCACCATCTCTTCCGCCAGGCTACAGTAGGCTTACATTGGGGAACCAGAACCCATGATGAGTCACTATCCAACAAAACAATCAGCACAAAAGCCATCACTCATGCAGAAGCCAGTCATTATTATAACTAGAATTACTAAATCGAGAGGCAACTTGCCCATCACAACTTCAGTGGGGGATCTCACCAAGAGCTTAATATTTGATAACCGATACCAGATTAACCTATCTAGTCCAGACACATACACATACACCACATGAAGCTTCTCTAAAACGAATTCAAGAATCTCGACCTCCCACTATGCTCCTCCAAACCAACGACCCCAGATTATATACTCCAGAGACTCCATTATATCCATACCATGAATTGAACCAGAACCTGGTGTGAAACCCATTCCCAACCTTAACTGTAATACCTTTTATGACCTCTATGAAACTCATCTCCTGACAACACAGTGCCCTATCAAACCCAGGCGACATATGGGACCTACCGTACCCATTGGCACTCCACCCAATCCCATCAAATACCATCATCCGTCCCATTATTACCAATGCCACATGCAGCAGTGTCAAGTATAGCCTCCCTCCCTCCCTCCCTCCCTCCCTCAGGGATTCAACAAAGAGAAATGTGGTAAACTGGCACATTAACAAGTTATGCTCTCATCAACGTTATTTTGTCAGGAAGGACAAACATTGCCCCTTCTATGTCGTAAATTTTCTTCCCATATGATCGGTTACTAGGTCCCACATACTTTTGCAATAATAGCACTATGCACATTATCACTCTCCTTTTTGAGTATGTGAATGGGCCAGCCAGAGGGACGTTCATAGTTCATGAGGTTTTAGATGGAAGACCATCTATGTCCTGGAATATTCACCATGGCAGAAGATTTTCCTAATTAAATATGTTCGTGTTACATGGCAAAAAAGTTTCCTAACTAAATATGGTCATAGAGTATTTGATGTAGAAGTGATTTCACCCATATCCAAGAGAAGAGAGGGAAGCGAGCATTTAAAGTGCATAGACGATATAATACCTCATGAGTGGACAACTTGATTTTGAGGGGCTTCAACTGTTGGATGTTTCATTTGTACTTTTACCTTGTCATAAACAATTGAATTTGCTTGTGGAAGTTACACGAGCATTTCTCAAAGGAACATTGCTAAACAAAAGGAATGATGCTTCTATGAACCAAGAAGTAAACATTTAAGACATCTCATTTCCACGATGGTTTTTCTAGCGTTTACCAATCATTATTGGTTTTTTCCACAGTTTTTCAATCCACATTTATTACTGATGATAGTTAATGCAACATCACCAGTAAAACACTCCACTAGCTGATCAGATAATTCAGTGGATGAAAAGCCTGATGTTATTCCCCGAAGATTTCCACCTAAAGAGATACTAATGTGAACATAACATATCTACTACGTTTCCATCTAGTTCAGATACTGCTCTTTATCACTCCCTCTATGCTTGGTTTCAATTCTTTTTTTCTTTAAAAAAGTGATGTTTCTATGATGGCACATCTTAGTATGCAAAGACACCATTTTCTTACAAAGAAGCTGCCACCTATAAGCAACAAAGAAAACCTAAGCATGAAGAACTACTAGAAGTTACCAAATGAATCCTAAGAGGCAGTTTCTCGGCCAGAAGGTAAAACTCTCATTCGTTGTAGGTCCACTTGCAAGGTGAAAACCAGCTCAAAAGGCTCCCTTATTCACATAAATATTGACCTTTTCTATTGGGTAAGTCACATAAAAATTAGCTTTGCCAAATGCTCATTAAAGGAATAGAGTATGAGGAGATCGGACATGTGGCCATGCTCATCATTGTTCGTGCATTTTCACCATTTGCTATGTTAGACAGACACTAATAATGAGTTTTAACCAGTGTTTGAAAACTCGCCGAGTCGAGCCGGACTCGCCCGATTCAACTTAGGAATCGTCTGGTACGAGCCGGTTCACGAAAAAATCGGGAATCGCCAGTATCCAAAGAGAACCGGGCGATTCCCAATAGTGAATCGCAAGTCTCACCGAAAAAATATTTTTTTTACACATGCCTGCCTCACGAGAACAACACGTGGCCACAACTGGCCGCCTCACGGGAGCAACACGTGGTAACTCACCTCACATGTCTTCCCCCTCGTTTTTCTACACGCACAATGGAGCATCTATTACAAAGGACTTTATAGAGAACCAAGCAACACTCATCCTTCGATGTAGGATAATTCCCACAAAAATTCATTAAAGCAAGATGTTTGAATATATATTATTATAGAATCAAATAAAATCACATGAGGCGACACGGCCGTATTGGTTGACAACCTCGATTTTGCAGTGGACATCTAGGGTTCGAACCCCTTAGCGCACAACCAAAAATTTTTTGAGTTCGAACCCCTTAGCGCACAACAAAAACATTTTTGAGTTCGAACCCCTTAGCCTTAGCACACAACAAAAAACTTTTTTAGTTCGAACCCCTTAGCACAAAACAAAAAAAAATTTGTTGTCAAAAAAATCAACAAAGGCAGAAAATACTGTTGTAAAAAAATAGAAAAAATATAAGATAAAAGGCTTTTCAAGATAAAGATAAAAAAAATAATACAGCATTTTTTTATTTTTCTTGTAAAAAAAATACAATTTGTTGTCAAAAAAATAAACAAAGGCAGAAAATACTGTTGTAAAAAAATAAAAAAATATAAAATAAAAGGTTTTTCAAGATAAAGATAAAAAAGATAATGCAACATTTTTTTATTTTTCTTGTAAAAAAAATACAAAGTAATATAACAAGTATTTCTTGCAAAATAATAAAACAAAAGGCATAAAAAAATAAAATATACTTTGGCAGCATCATATTTTTATTTTTCTTGTAAAAAAAAATAAAAAGTAATACAAGCAAAAAAAAATGTAGTACATCTTCTTCTTTTGTCAAAAAAAAAAAGAAGATAATCAACAAGTATCATATTTTTCTTATAAAAATAAATAAATAAAAGATAACACAATAAGTATTTCTTGTCAAAAAAATAAAAGGTATTCTTAATACAATCTAGGAATAAATGGCCTA